CTCTCCCTCTCGTGATCGTAAATTGTACGGTGCGTATTTATGACCGGCTATTAACGCTGCATATCGCTGATTAATTCTCCCGACTCTCGAAACAACATTGCATGCGATGCCTCCTGTAGGTGAGCTAACTTCATAAATATCACATTTCTCTTTGTATCGCGCGATTTCCGTCGCGTCGCGTCCTTCATTACACGGGCGGCGTTACCTTGTGTAAACAGCAGACGAATGACAAGCCGGAGGGGAAAAGAGAAACAAAAATCAATTTCCCCGGCGGATCTTCGGGCGCAGTTTAATCGAGCTCCCTTCTAATCTTCCCCGTCTCTTTCGGCCGGCCATTCATATTTAAAGCTGGATTTCCGGCACGACCGTGGAGGACGGTCTGCGTGCGCATGACAGCCGGGGAAGCCGTTAAAACACTTGCGCTTTTGAGAGATGGACATTGAAAGACGAATGCCGCGTGAAATCTTTTCCGAGAAACAGGATACGACCGAGACGCGGAGGAGCGCGGTTCGGCTTTGACGACGAGGAAAGAAAAGTGAAAAAAGAGAAGCGAACAACATTACGCGCGGAATTCTTCCCGGCCTTCGAGAAATGAGACAATTTCTTGAATAATTCAAATTTCGGCTGCGCGAAACTCCGCCGGCTCGAGCAGCGCGTCGCGCGGCGGATTTATTCAACGCGCGAGATCAAGTCCGTTTTCCGTTCCCGAACTAAGGCTGCATCGGGACTTCGTTTCTTTTCCCTATAAAGCTGAATTATACAATTGTCTCGTTCTAACGGTAAAAGGTGCAACCTAGTTCAGGAACGGAAAACAGACTTCTAATTAATGTCGCGAGCCATGAGTCAATCGCTGCCGCGAGCGCGCGACTCCCTAAGTCCCTCAGTCGTTCGACTTCGGAGTCGGAATTTCAACTTTACATTAAGTCTATTTAGTTTTACATCGAGTCCTCAAAGATCTTATATTGTGCCACCTTTGATGCTACATGCGAGAACTTATTTCCATCTTCTCCAAGTTTGAAGACTTAATGCAGAATCATTTCCCTCCAGGACGCCTAAATTCACTTTGCAGTATCGAAAGAGCATTATTAGCGCTCTTTTGATGCTACGAATGGGAAGTTATTTCCCATTTTCTCCAATTGAGGACTTAACGTAGGACTAAAATCTCAACTCGGATATTTAGGACGATTATAAATTCTTAACGAGACACGCTCCCTCGCACCGTTGTGTCTGCCGCTCTCCGTTCTGCTGTTGTATCGTACAGGGCGGGGTCCCTGCAAGCTCCAGTAACTTACATAATTAGGTAACGAATTGCCTAGCGTCACGATAACAGGCGTCAATTAAGACCGGCGTGTGTTGTATTGTACGTAGATGCGCGAGCGCGTGCGCGATTATTATTTCCTTTTCGACGATCGTTTCCGACTACGTGAGTTTCGCAGCCGGCATCGCGAAACGCTCGTTTCTGTTCCGTTTCAGCGTCTCGACGACTCGCACGCTGAATTCAACGTAGCAGCCCGTGCTCCCCCTCCCCCCCCCCCCCCCNCACGATTCATCAATACGGCGACGATTAATTTCGTACGGCTCGCGAATCCGATGAATTCGGCGGCCGAGCGAGCCTCGAGTCGTGAGTTGAAGCGTAGCTTCTCCTTGGAAGCCGGTATATCCGTTGAAGAAGGCCTACGACAATGTTGCCGTCGCGTGTCCTTCAAATGCGATATGAATTTTCATGATTCGAATGTAACCAGAAAATTATTCCGCGAGCGCCAATTAAGCCGCTCACGCTCGGAACCACGGCAGATCCATCCAGGATTACACGTAAGACGTTCTCGTTGAATTTTAATCAATCTCTCGTCCGAAGGTGGAATTATCGGCGCTACGGAGCGCTAATGCGCGCCAATGTGACGTATCTCGAGAATAACGCTTACGTACTCCCGTCGGTGACGGCTCTCTCCTCTCGATGTTCCGCGCGGGTTTTCGCGAGATTTCCGACGGAAAGGATCGCGACGCGTCTGCTTTCGCTCGCCGGGGAGACATTGCGATTAAACGCGAAAGTTAATTCGAGGCGGCTCGCGTCCCTCTTTTTTGCCCCTTCACGTTACGCGATTCGCCTGGGCGAAATCTTATCTTTCCGAGCGGGAGTTCGTCGTCTGTGCTTTCTTCGCGCGTGTCTGGCCGGTGACAGGCGAGCGCGCGAATCGTAATTCGAGCGTGCGACGCCCTGCTAGCCTTCGATTTCCGCTGGGAACGAGACATTCGTTAACGAGATAAGCTAAGGACAGACAAATCATTAAGAAGGCAAAGCCAGGCCACCCCGTTTCGCTCGGACCATTCGCTCGATCACGCGCTGATCGACGATTTATTATATTCCAGAGGCGGGCGGGGGAGGGCTCGCACGCGCGGACGCAACCGCGACTCGATAATTTAATCTCGTGAGAGGGCTTAACAAGCCGTGATAAGGGAGCATTAATCGTCTTCCCTCCTGGGGTCGCGTCGCTTTATCAGCCGGAAGTATTGCTTTTTACCGGACAAATTTATGGCACAATTTCAACGGCGCCGTATGATGTCGCGCGTGTAAACGACCGGTCGAATTTATAACTTCATAACATCTCTCACGATTGGCCGGCCGCTTACGGATAACCGGCCGCGTAGAAATGTCACGCATATGCCGGAAATCGCATTTCCCCGGGTATCGTAGATACCGCAACGGCCCATCGGCTAAAAGAGGAGCAACGTGTCCGGCATGACGTCAGCGCATGCCACCAAACCCCGAGTGACATCGAATATTAAAAACCTGTTCTTCTCGAGATATCGTTAATTAAAACGTCAATTTCACAGGGAATCCCAATAACCTCGGGGGACAGAAGTGTCCATACGCGCGCAATGTAACATCATAATACCTCGCATCGACACTCGTTCACTTTGTCATTTCGAATTTTTTTGCGTTTCTAGGTAACATTCGTGATTGGTATATTGGGTTGATGCTGAAGTTCGCTTTTTAAGAAGATTGCAAGGTGAAATAAGAACTTTTGATAAGAATTCAATGAATCTTTCACTATGTATACATCGAAATACAATTGTCCACACCGCTCGTGCAATTAGAAAAACTATTGACCGTTCAAGAGCTAATATTAACCTTCTGCTACTTTTCTTTCCTCCTAATTGCTTATTACCCGCTGTTACAATTTCAAGCACAATAATCAGCTCGGAATCACCCCTAATAATTTCTACTAAGCGTTTTCACGATGCAAACGTCAGTTATTAAATTGCAATATCATTTCGAACCGCGACGCGTCGTTTTCCTCAATGCAAAATGCCCCTTTCTCGATTTTAGCCGCATCGCTCCAACCGTTCGACAAGAATACTCGTTCGAGCGAGCAGGAATTTAAATGCCTGGCAGAATATTATGCAATTGCACGCTCAAGCATAGCCAACGAGTCGCGCGAAGCGCTTCCGCGATTTCCGCCTCGCGCGCGCCTCTCCGAACGCGGGGAGCGCGCGCGCGTATAAAGGCGTATAAGCAGAAAAAAAGCGCAGCCGGCGTCGAGGAGGCGTTGTTGCGGCTGAAATTCACGCGGCACTCACGATCGACGTCGTGTGTCGCGCATACGTATGTATATCGCCGTGGAATGCGCACTTCGTTACACATTCTGCCGCTCGTGTCATTGTCGCACCAGCTGCTGCTCCTCCTGTTTCGTCACCAGAGCAGGTCGTTCCGTTCAGGCTGCGACGGCGATCGATCGGAATGGGCGCTTTAACGCTCGATCATTAAGTACCCGAATGCTGCCCAATAACGCCGCGACGATTAATTTTCGATGTTCAACGCGTTTCGCTATTTACGATCCACCACGACGCGGGAGAGATTCGATTTGAAATCTGCAAACAAGCTTTTCTAATACGACACGTTTATTACTAAAATGTATATATATATATACATGCGTAGCTACTGTATTATGTCGTAAAGTGCTGAGTGATCGTTGTGACACAGCTTTGTTATTAATCTAATACATTTATTCCGGATGTTTTATAATTATATATATTCGTAAGAGGGATAGAATAGGTGTGCAATAATTTTGTCGAAAAATCCATATTCGACAGTCAACAAACACTCGGACAAACGGTCGGATATTAGACATCGGGCTTATTCGGCAGAAATTTGACGACAAACACTCTGCGGTGAATCATCGCCAAGTACAGCGTCGTGGCACTTTTCTCTCTCTTTTGTTCTTCCTCTCTCTGTCTCTCTCCCCGTCGCTCTTCATTCATTCTTGCTCAGCGATATATTCGCAAGACTTGCGGAATTTCAAGCTTCCCAGTATCCGCTGCGCGCCCAGGCCCGAGGATTTATACGCCGTGCGACCGTCAGTTCGCAACCCCTCGGTATCCTTAACCCCCGCGTCCTTTTAACTCGCGCCGCCGCTCGCGGCCTATTACGCCTCTGCACGGCAGCGCGCGTGTATTCACGCGTGTGCGTGACGCCGGTTTAAGCGACAGTTTAGTCAGAGGCGACGTGGAATGCCACGCGAGACACAATTCGCAGCCGGCGCAGGTAAATTCCGCATCGGCGACGTCGTCTTGTTGCGCGAACTTTCACGAATGCGTAGCGCCGGTATCGACTTGACAACCGAATATCGCGGATCGTGTATTCGTTGATAACTTTCCGAGGGAATTCTCCGCGTGATTTTGGAATTTTCCACACCGAGCAAAAAGGCTTGAGATAAAAATCAAGCATTTTGCGGTCAGCATAGCGATTTTCAGAATTATAAGTTCATTATCGAATATTTTCTTTTTATATCAATATTATGTAATGTTGTACTATTTGCTATCTTATTTTTAACGTCTTTCAATGTAAGTTTCTTTGAAATCATATTTTTGTCAAAACCAACTGAACGACTAGCCCATCCGTTCGCATTCCGACGACATTTTAATTGGCGCGTTGATAATAATCGTCCGTTAATATTATCGTTGTCTCGATATTGAAGCAACCTCTTTCTTTGCCTTTACAGTTCGACTTCCATCCGGGGTTCAACGACTTCTGAGATATCCTGTATGCAGAGCGCTTCCGCCGTTTCCCTTCTGCTTTTAGGTAAGAGAAATACGTTGTGCTGCTTAGAGTGAAATGCGTTTGCGCGGCACCGGCTTTATCTTTCCTTCTGATTTATGTTAACGACTATTTACCGAATGTGAGATAAGAGGATGGTAAAAGAGAGTCGCGGGACAGTCGCGTCGTTGTTACAAAGAGCGGCGGGACCTGCTAAACGCAACGGCGTAACCAGACGAACGTGCGCCCGAGCTGCACCGCACGTGCACTCAAACACATCCCTCTCCTCCCACCTTTATTATGCATCTACCTATCTATCTATCTATCCATATATTCTCATACATTAAAATATGAATATATATATATTTTTTTTTTGAAAATGTTTATATTATATTTTTTTTTATATGAATATATATATATATATATTTTTTTTTTGAAAATGTCGCAAAATTTCTAAAATCAATCAATATCAGAATACACCGGACGTCACATAATGATTTAACGTTGCAATTACTACTTTTTACGAATTTCAATCTTACACGTATACGTGTAAAGATAAAAATCATAGAAAACCTTAGTAAACAAACGTTGAGAATTGTACGAGCCTACGTGGCCTAGTGCGGGCGGACACTTCGATATCGACTAATCCTAACAGGGACTTTTCTTCACTACGATATAAAATCACGCGTATAACCCGACGTGACCCGAGACGTCGACGCCTGCCGAGGTCCCCGCGCTTGCAAGCCCTCCCCATCTCTGTAGTTCCCGTAATCAGAGCACACCGTCTTTGCCCGGTCACGCCTTTGGGGATCGAGCACAGGCGAGAGACGGCTAATCGTCCTTGTCGTTACTCGCGTCCTCCATTGAATTCCATATCGGGGTAACAAGCTCCGGTGCCGACCTCTAATCATCCGATGGGATTTACTGCCTACGAGCAGCCTGCTCCGTCCAGCCCCTCGGAGAGCCTCCCTCCCTCCCTCTCTCAGCTCCTTCGCCGCCACCGGTAATCGCGGCGAGACTTCGGTGGATCCTATTTCGCAATAGTCGGGCAGCAGCCGAAATAGAATCCCTCCGGTCGAACGCTCGATTAATTTCCGTCGTTAAAGCAATCGATCGGCGGACGTCTTATCGTCCGCACTGAATGTCCAACGTCCGTGCGAGAAAATCAGCGTTTTGCCGAAAGTAAGCTTTACTTTAACTACCCGCTGAAGCCACACACACACACACATATTATACTATACTCGATAAGCAACGTAACGTTACGCATACCGCGTACGCAAAAGCACACGTCGCACAGGCATATAGCGAAAACGTAGCACGTGCGCGCTTCGCATTTGCCGCTCCGCGGTCGAAAATTTATCACGCACGCGCGCCTCGCGAAATCGCGGCCAACAAAGAGGGCAACGAGACACGCGAAGGCCGGCGCGATACTTTAAAGTCCGATTGGATTATGCGGCGTTAACTCGAGCCGAATCCCGAGGTGCTCTCGCCGCCGTAATCGGCCACGTCGGAACCGCCGTTCGTTCACTCTCTCTCTCTCTCTCTCTCTCTCTCCCTCTTCCGTTCGTTCGTGCACTCGTTCGCTCGCTCGCTCCGGCCGAAGCAACGGCGGACGGACGATTTGTCCAGGTGGCTTTATCGAGGCCGCGTTTGCGTCGTTTGAATTATGACAGGACAAAATAAAGATATCGCTGGCCACGGAGCGATCCTGCACAGCGAGAAACGATGAGAGAGGAATGCGGTCTCCCCGAGCCGGCGGCCTGCTAGTCGCGCGCTGCGACGACGCGGCCGTTCGCGTGTGCGTCGTATCCGCGTGTCGGTGGTATCATCCATTTTTCTGACGTTTCTTAAAATCGATCCGCCGGGGAGAGCGGAGTCGCCGTAACGAATCCGCTCCGGGCGACCACACGTTGGCGAATCCGCCCGTAGCCTCTCCCCTTACTTCTCTTTCTCTCCCTCGTTCCGCCCGGTAATCCCTGCGTGTCCTCCCGCATCCGCGAGTCGCGAGAGGGATAAGCTTGGACGCTATGGGCGCGGTGTTTTCGCACGGTTCCGTGTAAAAGGGTTCGAAGCGGGGGAATCGGGTGGAGCGGAATGAACGCGAAGGATGACGAATGGGGACGTCTGTCATTTGTGACGATTGTGACACGCGGACGCGCAAATAACGCGAGAACACGCGCACGTGTCAAGTCCCGTCTATACAGCTCGGGGAACGCAAGACGCAGGCCGCAGACGAAAGATGACGATCGGCGGCTCCTTGCATTTGCTGAGCCCGCGTCTGCGACCTGCGTGTCTTGTGTTCCGCGAGCCATGCAGACGGGACTTAAATCGAATACATATTAATCATCGCGATTGTCGGGAACTACATATTTCGCCAGGATTTAATTTCGAGAAAGAGACGGTGAGGGGAGCGTATTAAAATCGAACAATCCGGGGATTAAAGAGTAAAGAACGGGGGGCGAAGGAGGGAGGGCAGAAAGGGACGAACATTATACGCGCGTAATATCGTCTCGCGAGCGGCAAATCGCGGGTTACGAACCAGAGGAATTCTTCGGCTACCCCCATTAACTGTCCTCCCTCTCTCTCTCTCTCTTCCCTTCGCTGCCCTCTTCCGCTCGCTTCCTCCCAGCGGTCACGGCGCACCACGAATGCCCCGCCGACAGAAACAAAATCGAAAGGCTGGGGTCAGAGCAGAGCCTCACCTCCGGGTGTACCTACACCTACGCGCCGTACTGTGCCGTGCCGGGCCACAGGAACGCGCACTCGACACGTGTGCCACGTAAAGTCCTACGTGTATTGCGCAAGAGGGGCAGGAGGGGGGGATAAAAGCGCGCTACTCTACCCAGTCTGATCCAGTCCCTCTGCTGCACCACATTTCGTCCAATGTCCCGGTGAGAATTGTTAATTTTTGTCCTCGTAAATCTACATCTGATTGTCTTAACACGTTTAACGTTGAATTTTCCAAATTCATCTCTCAATTACAAAGTAGCTAGAAGAACGTCATTTTTTTTTTATGGAAATTGAGAAGCGACAATGTTGTTGCTAAATTTCCCGAATTATCTCTCGGCTGCAATGCAGCGGAGAGAACGCTTCTTCGGTGAAAATTGAGGAATGATAATGTCGACGTGAAATTTTTCGCATTACGTATCGATCGCGATATTAGCGGGGAGGATTTCCGAAAGAAATCAAAAGCTACAACGTCGACGTAAAATTTCTCGAATTATCTTCCAATTGCGGGATAGCGAGGAAAATATCGTTGCCCCCCCGACGTATTTCATTCGTTCGCATCCGGGGACGCAGCAACTGGCGAGGCGGGGCCGCGGACGACACACGAAAGTTTCGTTCGCGAAACACAGTTGCAGAATGAATGCTCGCACCGGAGCAGCTCGTTATGCACGTTTACGAGCCCGCCGCGCGAATATCTCTTACAGAAAAGAGCGAAACGACACCATAAATCGGTGGTAAGCCGATTAAAATTCCGCCCGGGGTTTACGACGACGACGATAGCCGTGCAAACAAGACGTTATTTCGAATTCGTTTCAATTATTCGCGTAATATCCCTCGCGGCCGGCCGCGTCGAGTCGCTCGCGTTTCTTGGCCGCGAAATTCTCTCACGCGAATTTCCCATCTTCCTCGTCTACCTATTGTCGCGCCGACAACACTCGGCGGGAAAAGCGCCGGTCATGTGCGCGTCTACTGCGTGTCTGCGCAAGGGAAGCTCGAACGCGACGTTAAAATAGCGGCGAGGAGACCGTCCGTCGCCGGCGATATTGCGCGAGTCGATCGCGCGCCGGTGTCAAAGTGCTACGGCCGGAGAAAGAGAGAGAGAGAGAGAGAGAGAAAGAGAGAGGGCAGCGGCGAATGCAACAAGAAGCAATGAAAGCGCAAGATAACCAACAACAACCACCACCGGCACCACCTCCACCGCCGGCATCACCACCACCACCACCGCCACCACCGCCGACGTCGCCACCACTACCATAACCGATGCTGCCAGCGGAGGAGCCAGCAACAATAAGGGAGCACGAGAGGAGTGCGAAAGCACGAGCGAGCAGGCTCGACAATGCGGCAGGTACCTACCCCGCAGGCATTCCATCAAGATGCTATCGAGAGTGCTTGGGCCGAGGGGTGGGCACGAGAGAGGAGGTTCGGCGGGGGCCGGCGGAGGCCGAGGGGGCCATGAGGAGGATGAGAGGCGAGCTCGAGGAGGAGGCCGGCGAGAGATATTAAAGGATGCTGCGCCGCCGTGCCGACGGGGAGAGACGAGAGAGATAGAGAGAGAAGGAGAGAGTGAGTGAGTGAGTGAGAGAGAGAGAGAGAGAGAGAGAGAAAAAGAGAGAAAGGAGTAAAGAGAAAGGAAGAGGGAGAAGGAGAAAGAGAGAGAAGAGGCATCCCGTGGCGTGGTGGGTCCTAAGGTACGAAGGGATCAGGGCCGCCCGGCGCGGCAAGGCGAAGCGAGACGAAGCAAAGCGAAGCGCGTTCGGGGCCCGGACGAAGGGCCCGGGCCCACGGCGAGCCGCTTCGAAAACGTGACTCTCTTCGAGAGACTTCACCCGGGCGCCGTGTATCGGCATGCGCGCACTTTACTCGCCGTGTACAGGCGTCGACTCCTTTTGTCGGCGGCTCGCCCTGAAAATCGGCCCCGTATTAACCCGTCATCGCGATAACATCGCGCGGATGCGCCCGCGATTTCCGTCGTTTCCCGCAGCGCGAGACTCCCCGCGACTTTTCCCGCGGAGAGGGCGGCCCAGCCTCACCTCGCGTGAATCCGCGGAGTTTCGGAGTCGCGATTTGTTTTTACAGTGACGTCTTTTCAGCGGAAAATAGACGTTGACTATCGCAAAGTCGCGCAATCGCGTAAGTAATAGAAATACGAGGATCGCAACAATAAAGTAAAGAAGTCGTTTTAATTGGCGGATAATAGTAGAATTTTCTGAAACAAATCTTTTAAGTATTGCGACTGATAAATTTATAAGAATACAATTTGACAATTCGGAGCTTGGATAGTCGCGGAACTTGCATACGCGATCGTGACGTGTCGCCGC